TTCATCATTTCTGCCTGTTTAACTTAAATGTGGAAATTAGAAAACATTTTGAAATATGAAATCAAAATAAGTAGGCTTACATTCAGTCGGTGGAAAAGCTGGCCGGCAGGCAACAAGAAAACCTGAAGATACAAAAACCTCCAAAAAATTCGAATAGAAACTTGATAAACTGGAGAACAAAAAGGAACTAAACCAGAGTGGAACAGAGCTGTGAAGTCCTGAGAATCTGAACTAAACCAGATGTGACAAAGCACAGATGAACACAGAGATCAGACATCTCAAACACTGTGGGGTGGGGCAAAGAATCCCAACAGCAGGAGACAAGATGATGACAGGAGGTTGAGCAAGAATACATAATAAACAGGTTTGTTCAAGAGCCCTGTGGTGTTAAATCTGCTCCTGGAATTTAACTTCATCTGAAGTTAAGTGTGTGTGTGTGTGTGTGTGTCTCTCTCTCTCTCTCTGTCAGAGTGCATGCTGGGAGTGAGTGTGGTTGGTGCTTTGGAGAATGTGTCAAATAGTTTTCTATCTTTTCTTCGCTCTTCTTTCTTTACTTATATTAGTAGTGTGTTTTTGTGTAGTAGTAGTACTGTGTTTYRTCTAGTAGCCTCCACAAGCTAACACTCTGAAACGCCATCAAACTGTGTCCAGCTGTGGACTGCTCTGTAGAAGAGGTCAGTCTGGCTGTAGGTGAGGTTGTTGGCTACAATAGTGTGAAGTCTGCCTCAAGAATGAACAGCGCTGCGGTAATATTTCTGGATAGCATCGACAAAGCAAACCAGTTATTAGAGAGTGGAGTTGTAATTCAAGGCTTTTTCAGCCCCGTGTTGTCCCTGGTCAGCCCTGCTAAAAAGGTCATTATCTCTAATGTGCCCCCGTTCCAGAAAAATGAGCTTTTAGAGAAAGAGCTGGCAAGTTAAAGTTCCCCGATAAAAATGATCCCCATCAACTCTAAATCCCCACACCTTAAACATGTTGTGTCTTTCAGGAGACACATGTTCATGATTCTGAAGAACTAAACTTGGTTTTCAAGTTTAAAATGACTGAGATGTGTTTAAAAAAGAATTCAGAGTACCAGAGAGTGCACAAAATTAAAAAAAAAAAAACATCATCATGGACTAAAAATCATTTTCTCAGTCCAGTACACTTTTTGGAGTTTTAAACTGAGAGAGCAGAATGAATTTCCTTCCTTGGATTTGAAGTGTTAAAAACAATAAAGTGTGTGTTTGAACAGTCATTACATATATCAAAAGACTGCTCAAAGACAGACTTTATTTGACCCAGGAAACTGAATCTTACTGATAAGAGAGAGGACTCCAGTGAAGGTGGGATCAGATAACCTCGAGGCCCGAACAGCGATAGAAGGAGTTTCATGAGAATTTTGTTCAGTGTCTGGAAAAACACAGCTGAACTCTGGACTCTCAGACATCAGGTCGACCACACACCCGTGGTGGCACGCTGTCCCAGGACGTCCACATACAGATGACCCTAAGAACCAACAGGATGCCGTCACTTGAGATGAATCAGTGATTGTGAGGTGGCCAAGTACACCCTGTTTTTATTAATCAAACCTAAACACAAACCTTAACATATCATGAAATCTGAGACATATCATGTGCACAAATGTCCTTGATCGTACCATCAGGCTGGAGGACGGGCTGAATGACGACCACACCACCTGGTGATGCTACATTTGTCAGCAGTATTTGAAGTTGGCTGCCATTGTGCTTGTTTGCTCTGCAGATGGAGCGYGTGACTTCTTCACTCCAATATACAAAACCCTGTTGAAACAGAGAGAGGGAGTAAGCATTATTTGATTGTGGGTTTTCTTAGGCTTCTTCCTACAGTTCAAATAMATGCAGATCAGGRTGAGGTTGATTGCAGACTCTAAATTGACTGCAGCTTTGAGTGTGAAGATTTATAGGCGCATCAGTACACCACAGGGCTGTAACATCTTTTTCACCTCAAACACAGCCAGTCCGAAGGGTCGGTCCAGATAACCATTAGATTCCACCACTGTTTTACGATCACGGCCTTTAAAATTTACTCTGGAGATGCTTCTCTGATCAGCCCAGTACAACAGCTGACGAGGCATATCTAGGGGGAAAAAAACACATGAACACATAAATGGATGTGGTAAACAGCACTGCTCACACATATTGTTTTAAAGGGGAGGCCATTCCTTTTTTAAATTTCTTTAAACTTTCCAAAATCAATTCAGATACATTGCAAAATGAAAACATATGGAGTATAGAGATTTTCCAAGTTTCCAAGTACAAAAACTTTCTTTGATAATTATCACAACATACCTACAGAGAGGGCAACAGGGCAGCGTATTGAGGAAGTGACTAGGGCCACAGTGTCTCGGCCGTCCAAGCCAGCACTCTCAATCTTTGGGAAACTGCCACATTGAGCCCAGAAGAGAAACCTGAGAAAACAAAATGCAGCAGAGTTCTGCAATAAGATTCTTGACTCATCCCATTTAATTGTTCTTTATGTTTGTACTTCTTGCATTCATGCTTTTTCCAATATTGTAAAAATTGCAATTGTGTAATTAAAAACAACACTGAAAATATTTTTTTATGTCATTCATTTAAAATATGTTACAAAAAAACTTCAACAGCCCGGTTTGGTTTAGACTTTGGCTAGGTTGTCCTCTGTGTAGTGTTTTTATGAATCAATGACACATCATTCTAATGAAGATCAATCGTAATCAGAAAATAGTTTTTTGAAACCTCAACCTATGTCCAATCAGGCGGGGAGAATGAAATAAAYGTGATTGGCAGATTCAAATGGTATAGACTAAAGTTGACTATTGGGTGGGTAGAGTAGACATTTGGGTGGGTATTGCCCACCCCTGCCCACTTCTAGATCTGGGCCCCGTTAACAAACTGTTGAGAAAGTGAAAGTCGAAAGAGAGAGAAAAATTATTCTGTATCAGCACACTGATGCAGTCCCCCACCAAAACTGAATGGGTGATTTTCTGACCCAGACTGCATCCTTCTACCAAGTTTTGTGGGAATCTGTCTGACAGATGAAAACGTAACCTTGTTCCAGGTAAAAATGGAAATCTGTGTGTAGCTCTACCCTCTGAGAGGATCCACAGCCACTGCAGAAGGTTTGTCCAGCCCTGTGATGAGCTGACGCTGTATTGAACCGTCCAGCAGGCTGACGTTAATCGAACCACTCTCCACGCCGGTCCAGTAGAGGAGCTGGTGGATCCAGTCCACGGCCAGGCCCGACACTGTACCTTTTACTTTCAGCAGCAATGTGGCGTTATGTTGATTTCCATCCATGGAGACCCTGAGAAACATCCACAGATGAAAAGGCATAACACTCACAATCCTTGTCTTTGTGAGCATGTGAGCCTGCTAATGTTGACRCATATCACACGTTAACAGGCAGGAAAGGATCAGAAGCATCTTTTTACTAATGATCCTTTTCTTCTTATTAACTGATTATTTTGATGTTTCTCCCTGAAATCCATTAGACTATATGAAATCASCCTCTATGTTCAGCACAGGGAATTAAATACACTTGTGCCAATCTAACTGTCTTTCCCATTACCTCTTTTTTGCACTGTTACCTTACCTCACTTTATGTCATATGTTTATATTGTTATATCTTTACACTGGTTGCACTGTTATTGGAGTGGTTTTTAAATCTCATTGTACATGTGTATAGTGACAATAAAGGCATTCTATCTATCTAGTTGTAGAGGGACATTCTTTCAGTTCATTCAACTCAATCTATGATGGTTATCTCCCTATCCTTTATTCATCAGCACATGTAATGTCACCAAACTGGATCAAGCTCAAGTCATTCATGCTCACAAGTGAAGCAACTGACGTAAATGTGTTTTAGTGAAGTAAAGGTTAGCACAGTTTGAACACTTTGGAACGTCGAGGACTGAATTATAYGAGTCATAGAATGGTAGAGCATATACCTCCACCAAGGCTCAACCGTCCCTTCAATTCAATCTGTACCAAATTTCACACACTTACAGAAATCAGTTCTCTAAATGTGCCTGATTGTTTTCATCAAGATTCATGAACTGTAATGGGGTCTTTCTTGGCTCATGTCCCATCCTTCACCAAGTTTCATGAAATCCTTGCAATAGTCTTTAGAGTTCAACATCTAGGGTCTCAGAATAAATTAGGTGCAGGCTTTTCTTCAGGGGGTTTCTTCTGCACCTCGTTAAGTCCAATGAGGCAAATTGTTATTTGTGAATATTGACAAATAAAATTTGATCGATGATAGATTCTGGCTGTATGTCAGTCAGGTCCCAGTCAGGGTGAATGAAACACAAAGAGCTGTTACATGTGAGCTGACTGTCCAGAAAAGTGACTGCTTTCCAAGAGAGAGGAACACATGATTATTATTATTGTTTAATCAAGAAAAAAGTCAGTGTACCTGGATTGAGGGATGTTCTTACAGAGATTCCACTCAAGTGTCTTTATGGCTCGAGACATACAACTAAACTGGATGAGCTCACTTAATAAAATACACTTGAACACATTTAACAAACTTCTGACAGGGATTATACTTTGAAGGCTAGTGCTGCAGTGAGAAGAGGAAACCTCATTCTGAAGAACAGGTCAGGCTGGGGCGTTGCACCTGGCAACAATGTTAATGATACTGTCACATCTTGCCACGTTGCATTCTGTCAGTAGTTCCATCTCAATTATAAATCTTGCTATACAAACAGCAGTGCTAAGATGTGACAGCTCAGGTGTTTCTGCTGCAACTGTTTGTCTTGTTCATTTATGCTGCACGTTGCTGTTCTTCCTGTTGGTCTTGAAACAGCTCATACCCTACATTGTGAAACGTCTCTTTTAGAGCAGTGATAGTACAGATTTGGTCATCTTTGTYGTAACAAATCACTTTGAGCTGCATTTTATGTATGAAAGGTGCTGTATAAATAGAATGTATTATTATAATAGTATTATCTTGAAAGGTTTACATTTGGATCAGAGTGATTCAATTAATCTTGCTTTGGAAAACGCGGCATTAAAACATCCTGGA